AAATATTCCTTTCTTTAAATGAGGATAAATGAAGGATTTTTTGGTGTATTGAGACCTTACATTTTTTTCTCACAGATTGTCAATTATTTAATGTAAAAAAAACTATGCTAGGTCGTTGATGACGTCAAACAGAAAATACGAAGAAGAAAAATTCATGGTCAAGATATCTGTCACATTCATCTAATAATTAAATAAGCTTGTATAGAGTTTGAAAATGAATATTTTCTGTCTGGCTAATATAGACAATTTTGTTGTGAAGAATACATCTTTGTCCTAAGTATGTATATTTCCTTGAATTAAACTATCTATAATAATTTCTTTTCTATATTATACAATCAATAAGTAACGGAAAAAGTTTTTAGATACCGGAAACAATTGAACAATTAATCATTCACGCACACATAATCTGTAAATAAAAAACTCATCTTTAGTCACAAAATCTAAAATTTCTACGTGTCCTTCTCAGCTATAAAGATAACAGTCTGACAGAAGAAACTGAAAATACATGTTTGCTGTGTTTTTTATTTTTATAAAATTTATCCATACTCTTCAATTTGTGCTTAACTTTTTATTTTTATTTTTAAAAACGGTTGACTAACAATAAATATCCACATTTCTAAGATGACTGAAAATGACTTAGATCAGATTAGATCTTGATTATTTATCATCTTTTTACTAATTTTAATTTTTGCACAACATCTGTCAAGTCATGTGAAGAGAAATAAATCCTACTTCCGTTATTTTTTCCTAACTTCTCTCCCCCCCTCCTCTCCCCCAAAGTTCTATTGGTTATTCTTTTATCAACTATTATTTTATTCAATTTAAAAAAAGATTTGTTTGTCTCTTATATTTCCAAGATGTGACAAACAATGGAGAAGAAAACGGAAAAGCGTAATGAACTTATTTGAGAAAATTTTATTTAACATTTTTTTGATTTTTATATCTGGAATACGAACAAACAAACAAATAATAGTTTTGAGTAAGATAAGTACTCTTTATAGTTGATAAAACTCTTAGCAAAACTTTTTCTTTGCATACTATACTGTACTGAGTTGAGTCGAATACTGGATGTTTGTTATAGACAGCTAGAATCATTGTCCATTATAATGGGGTTTCGCATCATTTTATAACTTGTGAATAGAAAACGAATCAATATGTGTTGTCTAACAGTGAAATTATTCTATGTTTGTGACTATAGCGAACGAAACGCGAAACCTCTCCATATCCAAGTTAACAAAACATTTTTAGATTTGAATTATAGGGTTGATAATGAACAAGACCATAATAGTGATTTGCACATTTCTGTTAAAGAAAGTATTGAAAACTTAACTTGCTGGTTTATTCTACATAAGGAAGACAAAGGAAAGCAATTCTCTTATTTTTTATTTATGATATACGACAGGCATATTCGAGGGATAGCTAGAAAGAGGGAAAGAGAGAGAGAGAAAAGGGCAAAAGTCGTCACAGCTTATTCTTATACATAGTATAGTTTATTCACTACGCTTAATATACATGTCTGCCAGGCCTCATCTAAAAAAAGAAACCGCGAGAAAAATATGAGAAAAAGAGTGTTTGTTGGAGTAATAGGAACAAAAAAAAGAGAAGAAAAAGTAATCATGACTGCCATTGAACCGATTTTTATGTAGATGATGTGTACAGCATTGAAATCGCTTCGAAAAACTATGTCGATTACTATTATCTTTTACATAGTGTCGGCCTGTTAAATACTACTATCCACCATAATAGTGTGAGAAGGTGAGTACAGATTTAAATACAAAGATAAAAGATCAAAAAAATCTAAGAATAAGTTGATAAAAGACAGCTTTTAATTTGATAGCATCTCATTTAGAAATATTCTAGAAGTATTCCAACTTTTTTTTATACAAACTGCTTTACTCTCTGGCTCAAAGAAGCTTTGAGCCGAGCCTATAACAACTCTACCTTATTCAGACTATACATGATTCCTATAGTTGTGTAGAAGAGAGAGCAAGTACTCATTGATAGAAGGTGTTTTTTTTTTGTTATTTTGTTGTATTTTACACCATCAAGTCAGACATTATACGTAAAGCATATTATCGCATATAGAATAAAAACAAATTCTCCCTTAATTAGTATAATAGACTAAATCTGTTTTTGAATAAATTTAGATTTATAGACACGCATTATTGATGCAAAATATAGCTTTCTTTTATACACTATATCTGACGAGGTAACGGAGATGTATTTTTGTATTAATAACGTTCTTAGTTGAAATTAATTTAGCCCAGATGATTGAAATGACAAGGAATATGAATCTATAACATAATGAATTGATGCGAGTGTAACCTATCGAAAGAATTATGATTTTATATCAATGACGATGATTATAAAGTTCTCAATGTGTTACAACTGTCAAAACCAAAACAAAAGAAAAAAATCCATTAGTCTATTCATTGTCACTCATGAAGGAATTTTTTAACTTCTATGTAAAAAAGGTCTCTTGACAGAAAACAAACAGCTTTACTAGACATTATGTGTTGTAGTTACCAAAAATTTACATCAGATAACTCGGGCTAAAAACAGATTTTTGCTTTTCATTTCAATGATTTTGCGCATCTGTTTCTCTCTGTCCCTGCAGATAAATGTTGATGGATTAATGGGACAAAAATAAAAACACATAAAAAGGCAAACTAGCTTCACAAAAGGTTATATTTAATCTTGCTGTTTACGTTTGATAGAAATATTCACTTAAAACGAACTTTTACTGGAGACAAACGAATAAACCCACCTATTGCCTGGGATTTAAGTATGAATGAAGAAGAGAAGAAAAAGAGAAAGTGAGAGTGCGAGTTAAATTACGAAATAGCATCATCGTTGTTGATTTAAAGAAGAAAAATAAAATAATTATTTTTAGTAGAACTAAAAACCAAATGACGTAAAAGAGAATTTTCTACGTATGACGTAAAAGGCAAAATAAATTATACGTCATAGAATAATTTTAATAATAATTCTACGTTTTTTCTGTTCTCTCGTACTGGAGAACTTTCTCATTCAGAAAATATTCTAATTATATAATCGGTGTTCATAAGTCGGATATTTAACCCTATGAATGTGTTTTTATTTTTACAACACTTAAATAAATTATCGCTACGTATAATATCAAACTTTTTCTCAGTTGATCTATTTAGCTGATTGATACAGAATGAAAACGTAAATTTTGTTTTTTTATTTTTATTTTAGATCCATTAGCATCACACTGATTAGTAACGGTAAAAATATTTAATCTAAAAGCAGCTTAGCTAAAAGGAACTTGACTATGAAAAGTGCATGCGCGTATCATTTCTAAAAACCTAAACATTTTATGATTATTCTTCTTCGTATGTTAGAAAAAGTTGTACTCAGACGAGACATTTCGACCAGAAAATCTTTTATTTTTTGAAAATCAAAGAGATTACACTTCTCACAAACTGCCACTTTCGCTCACATTTCATTCCTTCCGTTCCGAAATTTATGAGAGATTTAGTAAAATAAAACTAAATTTTGTTGTAAGTCCTTTCTTTATATCCGGAGTTTAAAAAAACGCAGGTTCACCCTAACAGGACTTAATGAAAAATATAGGTTATTTCATTCATTCTGGTTGATTCCGTGCCAAGAAATTTTATTTTGTTGTCTATTTTAGAAATAGAATGATGTTAGGAATGCATTCTGAATTTTCTAGAAAAAAGAGATTGTGAGATTTATTTGTTCTATTTTATTTTATTTTTTATGCAATGGACAATATACTTATTAAACGTAATAAATTTATTATTTTCTCTTTCTATTTCTATTTTTATCCAAGTGAAAAAGAAGCTTAGCATGTTAATCGGACAGCGACCACATTCTTTTTTTTTTTCTTCTCTCTCTTGTGTAGTATAAAAAATAAATTATAGCTTTGTGTTCGGAAAATCAGAAAAAGAGGAAACTATTCTATCCTCTTTAATTATTGTCTCCCCCATGAAACAAGCCATTATCTAACTATTGCGTATAATTTTCCTTTTTTTTTTTTCTTCTGTAGTTTTAATCCAAGAGACTAGTATCTTGTTTGTTGCCATCCTACTTGATTTCTGAATTAAGCTTAATTTACATTAGAATAGAAGCAACGAAGAATAAAGATACCTATTATGAGATAAGAAAAGCAGAAAAAAGTGTGTTACGATGAAGATGCGTTTATAGTACTACTATACAGTCGTATTAAAAAAAAAGAGAAAGTTAGCCTGTTCTAATACAAACAGCATTAGGGTATGCATACGTGCCTGTGTGTGTGCGCGTATGTATGTGTCTATCTGTTTTTTATTGTACATTACAGACAGGTTTATAGATAAAAATAAAAAATTTTACATCCTTCAAGTTAGTTAATTCTATATTAGAAAGAATTCTGGTAGATATTAACATGAATCTTTGTCTTGTTTGTTTTGTTTTTGCTTAAAGATCGTAACAATTTCTCAATAGAGAAAGTTTATTTGTACAGTTTAGCTAATTTTGTTCTATTTTGTCAATTTTTGTTTTGTTATCAAGAAGGGGAAAGCAAAGATATGTCTTAGAAAAATAAACATCGTCACGTTTTTATATTAAGATGCCTAGAAAAGAAAAGTTTGTTGTAACCATTTGTGGGAATGAACACATGCAACAATCGATGTGTTGTATTTTAAATTTAGAGTGTATTACAAAACTCTAATATCAGTCAGACTTTTTTCTTCTAATGTTTACTTGATAAAAAAAAGGTCAACATATATAAGTAGCACGAAAAAACCAGTACGTTTTGTCTATGAAAAAATATGATAAACATGGACAAATGGCATATTCTTTCTAATGAAATAAATTATACTAAACAGTTTTATAGAATCATAAAGGGTGTCATTGTAACTAACACACTTCTATTTTATTTTTTTTTGCAGATTAAACTTCATTAATAAAAACTGATATAAATAATTGATTATACGCTATCAATTCGAATGTTCTTTAATTAAAATCGACGAATAATAATGTCTCAACGAAGTCAAATTGTACCAGCATTAGCATCAGCTGTTCATTCAAGTACAGCATTTCTTGAAGAAATTCCCATCATTCATGATAATATATCTCCAAAATTGAACAATTCATATCTTTACAATGAACATACTCGACTAAGATCAACATCGTCAGCCTCATCAAATCATCCATTAGAATCAAACCACAATAATCAACCATCTTATTTACATATACCATCAACAGTTAGTTCAACATTATCAACAGCGACCACAAATATTTTCCTGTCAACACCGTTGGATGCCCGACGAGCATTTACCTATTTTGATAAAAATCATGATGGAAAATTAACTGTTAAAGAATTTAGAGATGTTATGCGTACATTGGGTCATAAAAATTTTGATAAACGATTTATTCAGAGAATGTTTGCTGAAGCTGATCGAAATAAAAATGGTGTATTAGAACTCGAGGAATTTGTTGAATTTTTAGAAAGTAAATTTTCAATGTCAACAAATTCATTAGATGAAAATAGTAAAATTAATGATCATAATATTGATCAATCACGTGCACACTTTGATATTGAAAGTTTATTTAATTGTTATGATTTGGACAAAAATGGTGTTATTACAGCAAAAGAATTACGAAAAGTAATGGAAAAAATTTTAGGTGAAAAATTAACAAAAGAAGATATTGCTGAAATGATGAAAGCAGCTGATTTAAATAATGATGGTCTTATTGATAAAAATGAACTTGAACAATTATGTAGTGCTTTTTGAGCAGATAAAGAATTATATATAAAGATTTTGTGATACGTTTAGAGAACAAATAATACTATATGGGAGGGTATGAAAAGTGAGAAAGTAAAATGTATTTTAAGAGAATGTTTTGTCACTATCCTGCGTGTGCATGTGCCTATTTACCTTGACAAAAGACCAGATCTGTACACGTCTTCCTGTTTTCATGCAATAATAATATTGTTTTATTGTAGTTTTTATATTCATTTCTGCTGGTCCGTCACGGTGTCTTATCTTTCTCTTGATAAAGAAGCTATCTCTTTCGCATCGATTTTTGTTAATTGTTTTTCTTTGCTTTCTATACGCAAAACTCGTATCTTTTTAATTATTTTATCGCGATTAAATAATTAGGAATTTAACTAATTGGATACATTAAATGGAGGATTATTCTAAAACAATTATGTTCGGATTCAATCCACTAGTTTTCTTTTTCCTTTCAATTTTTGAGATAATTAATATTTTTCACAAATTGTTTATGTTCCACTGTTCGTTTTCTACTGTGTTAATTCAACCGTTTTGCTTTCTATTTGTGTATGTTTTTTTTTCTATTTTTCTTTTTGTGTCACTAAAAGTAACTTTTTTGAAATCGTGCTTTGCTAAAAAACATAAATATGCAGTTATCAAAAAAATCATTGTAGAAAACTAATCAATGAATGAAATAGAGTTTTGGTATCGAAAAGAACAAAGAACAAGAACAACACGAGAGTTTTATGATTCCTTCTATGCACGCATACACTGTATCGATCGTAAAGACGAGAACGAAATTATGGTTAGTTCTTTATAATTAACTTGAGATCTACACGCATCTCTAATCATGACTAATTTGTTGATCATGATTAATTTTAATCATGTTCGAAAAGTGTGATTACCGTAAATTGGAATAATCTACTTTGTGGACACTTAATCATCATTGACGTATATTACGCATTGCGTTGAAAACTTCATTAAAAAGGAAAATAATTGCCAATATAATATTGGATACAAAGGTTGGCCTTTTTCTTTATTCACATTAGAAACTTGTTAGGGAAATAAATGAAAGCGAGACCGCGCAAGTTTGGTATAATGTTTCTAGATCGAATAAAAATATTTTTACAATCTTTCTTAGGTATATATAGCCTGCTTAAATTATGATCGTGAGTTTTACCGTTATTATCGTAATCGCAACAGCACAAATGCGCACAAATACGGCGCAAGTAATGAAAAAAACGCAGCTGAGATCGCGACCTGGCTGCGTAACGATCCTTTCAGAAAACAGAGGAAAAAAAAGAGAAACGTTAAAAATTTTTTAACAGGCGCGTTGGGTAAAAAAGAGGAAAAGAGGAGACATTTTTTTGGCCAAAAAACGGTACTAACGATGTTGTGTATACATCAAAGTCGCTTAAGACTCTCAAAGAAAAGATTTCATCCTACTTAAAGTATTTTTTCCGTGTTTCACGAGTAAAAAGCTAAGAAAAACAGCAAAAAGTTATTCTAGTTTAACACAGAAACATATCTGCCTGTTCAAATAGCATCGCTAACTGTTAAACTAATCTAAAAATAAATTCTGTCTATTAAACATTCTTCTTATCATTTATTTTTGATGGTAATTGAGATAATTTTTGTTTTTTATTTGACTGTTCAACTTTGTGATAAATTGTGGCTGTATGAGACAAAGATGCGGGAGAAACGAATGTGACATTTTCTTTCAACTTTGATATTTTTCATGGTAATTATCTTTCTTCATATGCTGTACTATTAGTCATAATTAAGGATTCTACTGGGCTATTTTTAATCATAATAACGGTAAAATTCATGATCATATTTTAAGCAGGTTGTATATACCTACGAAAGATTGTAAAGATATTTTTATTCGATCTAGAAACGTTATGCCAAACTTGCGCGGTCTCACTTTCATTTATTTTGGATATGTCCGAACTGTTTTCTGGTTAGTATCAGAGTAGAGTGACCATAGCCGATTGGGTGGGGGAGGGGGGGAAGGGAGAGGTTTTCTTCACCATGATTTTGAGCCTCAAGATAAGATATCAATTGTCTTATTAAGATCTGAGCGCGTTATGCTCTATTTTTTCTATCTACTGCGGCTGAACTGTTTCTCTTATTATCTTTTTTATTTAGTTCATTTAATCACAATAAACTAAAGAAAAATTACTAAAGAAGTTTTTGATATTTATAGAGAAGCATTTATTCTCAGATTCCT